GGTATGTAAATCTCATACGATTCTGACCACATGGCCATCCTAAATATGAAATCGCAATGTCCCAGGCCAACCGGTATCCCCCCCTGACGTTCCCTTGTAAAAACAAAACCATACGCGGGGACAGTTTTTGCTCTAACATAAGACTTGTTGCACGTTTCTCTTGCAAAAAATGGGACGAAATGCACACGCGCGCGTCGTCGCGCGCGCATGCCGACATCCTTCAAAAACCTTCGGTGCCGGAAGGATTTCGAAATCGAGTTTCCCAAAAACATACACAAACACAGGATTTCGCAACATTGATTTGCTAAAAAAGCTTCCGCGCGAGCTCTTGCGAAATCTTGAGAAAACCATTGGTTTTTAAGATTTTCACAACATGCACTCAAACGGGCTTCGCGCGCGCGCATGTCGAAGTCTGTCGAACGCCCTTGCGCGTGTGCCGTCGCGAGAATCCTCTGCAAAAAAAAGGACGAAGTGCAGACGCGCGCGTCGTCGCGCGCGTATGCCGAGAACCTGCAAAACCCATTGGTTTCTGAAGGATTTCAAAATCGTGTGTCCAAAAAACATACAAAAACACAAGGTTTCGCAACACGGATTTTCAACAAGAGCGTGCGCGCGCGCTCTTGCGTCGCCGTCGTCGTCGTCGTCGTCGCCGTCCTCCCTCCTCCCGCGTCGTCGTCATCGTCGCCTACGTCGTCCTCTGTCTTTCCTCGTGTTCGTCGTCGTCCTCTTTGGCGTCGTGGTCGTTTCCGTCGTCGTTGTCGCCGTGGTCGTCCTTCCTCCTCCTTCCTCGTCGTCGTCGTCGTCCGTCGTCGGCGTCTCGTCGTCGTCCCTCCTATTTCGTCGCCGTCGTCGTCGTCATCGTTGTCGTCGTCGTCGTCTTCCCTCCTCCCTCGTCGTTGTCGTCGTCGGCGTCGCCGTCCTTCCTCCTTCTTCAACGTTCGCGTCGTCGCCGTCCTCCCTCCTCCCTCGTTGTTGTCGTTGTCGTCGTTGTCGCCGTCGTCGTCATCCCTCCTCCCTCGTCGTCGTCTTCGTTGGCGACGTCGTCGTCGTCTTCGTCGACGGCGTCGGCGTCGTCGTCGTCTTCGGCGTCGGCGTCGTCGTCGTCTTCGTCGTCGTCGTCGTCGACGTCGGCGTCGTCGTCGTCGCCGCCGTCGTCGACGACATCCAGCACCCAGCACTCATCGCAATTGCTCCAGCATGGGTTTTGCAAATCAAGTTGCGGGTGGGTGGGTGCGATGATTGCGCGAGCAGTGGAGTTGACAACTTCAAGTTCGGCAAGTGGATCTCTCACTATAGATCTCACTATCGCTCTCACTATCGGTCTCATGATCGATCTCACAATCGATCTCACTATCGATCTCACTGTCGATCTCACCACGGGACACCACGGGACAACGACGGGACACTGGCGGGACACCAGCGGGACCAGCGGGACACCGTCGGGACACCGTGCGCCACCGGTTGCCGGGCGGAGGACCTTTTTGTCCGGCCGCGGCCCAGCCTCGACGGGACACCGGCGGGACACTAGCGGGACACCAGCGGGACACCGGCGGGACACTGCGCGCCACCGGTTGCCGGGCGGAGAACCTTTTGGCCCAGTCGCGGCCCAGCCACAGGAGAATTTCCTCTCCCCCGCTCACGCAGCTTCGCCTCGCCCGCACGCACGGCACGAACACGAAACCGAAATCGATTTCCTGGTAGGGGGCTCTCCGTTCCACTTCGATCTCACCCCCCAACCTCACATATATATATATATATGTGTGTGTGCACATACACGTACATACATTCATACATAAATACATGCCTGCGGTCCTCTCCACATACCTACCTACCTATCTATGTACATACACACTACAAGCAATCACGCTCATATGCATACATAAGTTCATATCTATAGACATGTACACATAGGTTCATGCTTACATGCGTACATGTACGCACACGTGCATGCATGCATGCATGCAGATATGAATGTATACATGTATACGTGCAGCCATACATGCAGACCCACATACATACATAACTACATACATACATACATACATACATACATACATACATACATACATACATACATGCATACATACATACATACATATAAGTACATACCTCCACACACACCTACATACATACACATACATACATACATACATACATACATACATACACACATACCTGCAGACATACATACATACATGCATATAAGCATTCATGTATACATCCACACAACCATACTTGCATGCATGCGTTCACATACACGTGCAATCATACACACATGTTGACATATATATATATATGTGTGCGCAACCATACATACATACACATGCATACATATATACGTACATACATACCTACATACATGCGTACATACATGCACACATTCATACATACTGTGATACATGCATCTACACATACACACATGCTTGCATACATACATATGTACGTACATACATACACAAATACATGCATCCATACAGACGTACACACGCGCGGTTCCCAAGACATTTCCAGATCTCCGAGAAACAGTTTACGTGGCAGCCAGTCTACGTGGCTTGACGCTTCGATCCCGCTCGTGGGCAGGGCGTTTGAGGCAGCGCCATGGCTTCGCGAGTGCGTCGCATGGCTTGCCGTCGCGCTGTTGTCCCCGCTCCCACGCGGCGCCTCCGCCGCCCCTCACGCGCTGCGCGCGCCAGGGAGTAGGGCCCAGCGCCAATCCAAGAAATCGGCGTGGAGCTCCCAAAAAGCGCATGCTCACACCTCGGGCCTCCCAGATGGGGTTCGAGCAGATGGGGCCGGAGGATCGCGCCGCACCGCGCTTCATCGGCCATGCGGCCCGATGTGGAGCCCGATGTCCTCCACGCCGGCGTCGCCCACGCACCGCCGACGTCGCCCATGCACCGCCGACGTCGCCGATGCATCAGCGATGCATCGGCGATGAATCCTAAACCCTAAACCCTAAACCCTAAACCCTTGAGGTGGTGCTATCCTTCGACCACATCTGCTCGGACCCAGGTTGCCGATCGGGCGCGCAGCGGGTTGCCGATCGGGCGCGCAGCGGAGCCCGTGCCAGCGGGCTCGGTGCTCATCCCCGTGCTCGCCAGGCCTCCCGTTCTGCGCCCCCCTCCTCCTCCGCCTCCGCCTCCTCATCCTCCTCGCCCCATCCTCTGCCTCCTCTGAAACCCCCCTCCTCCTCGTCCGCCTTCCGCCTCGTCCTCCGCTCCCTCATCCGCTTTCCTCCTCCTCCTTCTCCTCCTCCTCATCATCATGACCCTTCTCCTCTTTCTCCTCCTCCGCTTCCTCCTCCTTCTCCTCCTCCTCCCTCGCCCCTTCTCCTACTTCCCCCCCGCCTGACCCCCCCCCTATTCTTCCTCCTCCCTGTCCCCCTCCCATGCTCCTCCACCGCCTGCTGTCGGGCCATGGGCATTCCATATGTTGCTATTTGTCGCAACGAGGTGGACACCGGAGGAGGAGAAGGACGAGGAGGAGGAGGACGAGAAAGAGGAGGAGAAGGAGAAGGACAGGGACGAGGAGGAGGAGGAGGAGGAGGAAGAGGAGGAGCAGGAGGAAGAGGAGGAGGCGCAGGAGGAAGGAGGAGGAGGATGAGAAGGAGGAGGAGGAGGAGGGATGATGATGCTGATGATGATGCTGCTGCTGCTGATGATGATGATGATGCTGGTGATCATGATGACAAAGGTGATGATGGTGATGATGATGATGATGATGATGATGATGATGATGATGATGATACTGAGGATGATGTTGCTGCTGATGCTGATGTAAATGCTGCTAATGGTGTTGATGAAGGAACTGACGCTGATGAGGCTGATGATGCTGCTGATAATTATGATAATTAGGATGATGATGATGCTGATGATGATTGTGTTGATGGCGACGATGATGATGCTGACAATGATGATGATGACGATGATGACCATGATGATGTTGATGACGATACTGATGAGTATGATGATGTTGTGATGATGCTGATGATGCTGAAAGGGTGCTGATGCTGATGACGACGACGCTCATGATGATGATGATGATGACGATGATGACGATGGTGGTGATGATGATGTTGCTGATGATGATGACGATGATGGTGATGATGATGATGGTGCTGATGCTGATGCTGCTGATGATGATGATGATGATGATGCTGATGCTGATGATGATGATGATGATGATGATGATGATGATGATGATGATGATGATGATGATGATGATGATGATGATGATGATGATGATGGGGACGAGGAGGAGGAGGAGGAGGATCAGGAGGAGGAGGAGGAACGGGAGGAGAGGAGGAGGAGGAGGAGGAGGAGGAGGAGGAGGAGGGGAGAAGGAGGAGGAGGAGGAGGAGGATGAGGAGGAGGATGAGGAGGAGGAGGAGGAGGAGAGGAGGAGGAGGAGGGGGAGGATGAGGAGGAGGAGGAGGAGGAGAGGAGGGAGGAGGAGGAGGAGGAGGAGCAGAGGAGGAGGGGAGGATGAGGGAGGAGGAGGAGGATGGCGAGGGGGTAAGGAGGGGAGGAGGAGGAGGAGGAGGAGGCGGAGGAGGAGGAGAGCAGGATTCATCATGGATGGCGATGGGGGTCTAGGAGTAGGAGGAGGAGAAGAAAAAGGAAGGATTGCGGATCAGGAGGAGGACGAGGAAGCAGAAGACGAATGGATGCTACTGAGGAGGAGGAAGGATGAGGGTCGATGAGCAGGAGGAGGAGGGGGACGATGGGGGAGGAGGAGGAGGAGGAGCATGGACGATCTGAAGGAGGATGAACAATCAGGAGGAGGAGGAGGAGGAGGAGGAGGAGGAGGAGGAGCAGGAGGCGGAGGAGGAGGAGGAAGAGGAGAAGGAGGAGGAAGAAGACGAAGACGAGGACGGGGGCGAGGAGGACGAGGAGGCAGAACAAGAGGACGAGGGTCAGGGAAAGAGGCAGAGGCAGCGGGAGGCAAGGGATGAGGAGGAGGAGCAGCAGCAGCAGGAGGATCGCGCCAGAGGCACGCCGATGGCGCTTTTCACCCCCAAGAACTTCTACTCGTGCGGCTGCCTGTTCCTGGTGGGGGCGCTCCTGCGCCGCCCTCGGCGATAGGACGAGGAGGAAGAAGGATGAGCAGGGAAGTTAGAGGAGGAGGCGGAGACGAGGAGAAGGAGGAGGAGGAGGAAGGATGGAGGATGACGGTGAGGAGGAGGAGGAAGACGGGAGGAGGAGGAGGCGGAGGAGAAGAAGAAGGAGGAGAGGGGGAGGAGGAGGACAAGGAGGAGAGAGGAGGAGGAGGAGGAGGAGGAGGAGGAGGAGGAGGAGGAGGAGGAGGGGGAGGAGGAGGATGGAGGATGACGATGAGGAGGAGGAAGAAGAAGAAGAAGGGGGAGGAGGACGAGGAGAGGAAGGAGGAGGAGGAGGAGGAGGAGGAGGAGGAGGAGGAGGAGGAGGAGGAGGAGGAAGGGGCACGTGGAGGCGGAGGAGGAGGAGGAGGAGGAATAGGAGGACGACGAGGAGGAGGAGGAAGAGGAGGAGGAGGAGGAGGGGGAGGAGGTGGAGGAGGAATGCGCAGGGATGTAGGTGGAGGAGGAGGAGGAGGAGAGAGGTCGTGGAGGAAAGAGGAGGAGGAGGAGGGCAGATGATGATTAGTAGGGAGACCGGGGATGGAGGAGGAGGTGGAGGAGGACGAACTTACGACCAGCGTAGGGTTCCAGATTAGGGCGTGCGGGTGTAACAGGAGGAGCAAGGGACCGATGGAGACGAGTGCCGAGTCCCGCCACCATGCCAGCGCAGCACTCTGCGTTGCGATCCTTCGGGCACCGCCGAGAACACTGTCACATGCGAAACTACTTGTCGCCCCTGGGAAGGAGATGGGGAGAAGGAGGAAGTGGAGGAGGAGGATGAAGAAGAAACACGGAAGGTGGGGGAGGAGGAGGAATTCTAGGGAAAGGATACCGAAAGGATGGTTGGGATGTTGTTGGTGTTGTTGGTGGTGGTGATGATGACGAAGAGGAGGAGGAGAATGATGATGGTGGTGGTGGTGGTGGGAGGTGAGGGTGATGTTGTTGCTGCTACTGCTGCTGCTGCTGATGATGATGATGATGATCGTCACCATCATGATTGACATCATGTTGATGATGATGGTGATGGTGTTGATGGTGATAATGATACTTATGTCCATGATGATGACGGCTATGATGAGGATGGTAATGATGACGATGATGGTGATGATGATGGTTGTGATCATGATTATGATGGTGATGACGATGATGCTGGTGATGATGATGGTGATGATGATGATGATGGTGACGGTGGTGATGATGATGCTGAATATGTCAATGATGATGAGTATGATGATGATGATGATGACGATGATGGCGATGCTGCTGTTGGTCATGATGAAGGTGATGATTATGATGGTGCTGATGATGATAAGGATGACCATGATGGTCATACCGATTATGCTTATGGTTTTGATGATGACTATGATGGTGCTGCTTCTGATGATGGCGATGGTGATGATTATTATAATGGTGATGGTGGCAATGATGATGCTGATGGTGACCATGATAAGGTGTTGATGCTTATGCTGATGATGCTGATTATGATGATGATACTGGTGATGATGATGCGAATGACGATGACGATGACGATGACGACGATGCTGCTGCTGCTGCTGCTGCTGCTGATGATGATGATGATGATGATGATGATGATGATGATGATGATGATGATGATGATGATGATGGTGATGATAATATTGATGATGCGCGAGCGTGCCCAGCGAGCGAAGCAATGTCTGGGCTGGTCGAGGAGCACGCCCTGCTCGGGCGCCTGTCCGCCACGTGCCCCCCCGCGCCGGACGAGCTTGGCATGCTCGGGCAGACGGTGCTCAGCCAGGTCCGAAGACATTGGCAGGCACTCCAGGCGACACGCCGCGGATGCGCACCGCAAGCTGGTCATGCTCAGCGCCCGGGGCCCGCGCGACGTCCCGAGGGAGAGGGCTGAGCTTTCCTTCCCTGATGCTCAGGTATCAAGGGGGGATAAGCCACCTGGACCGGACAAATTTGCGTTTACCACACGGCGCTGGGCGTTTATTTTGATTCTTTCTTCGGGTGCGTTTACCAGACGGCTTCGCGTGTCGGGGTGGTCGTTATCGTCGTGGGTTTTCTGCCCTCTATCTAATTTAGTCGTCGCGACGCGTGGGCGCCTGGGCCTTTTGACAGGAGGCAGTGCGCTCTTGTGCTGCGATTGCGATTGCGCGTCTGGTGAAACGTGTAGGAAGCTGAGTTGCCGCGATACGCGCGTTTTGAAACGCAACACGTCCCGTGTTCAAGACGTCTGTGTCAATACGTTGCGTGTTGGCTCCACGTATTGGACTACGTTCTGGCGAATTTATCGCGTCGGACCTACGTTTTCAGCCTACCTGTTGAGCTCCGTATCAGTACGATACGTGCTGCGTGCTGCGTATCGGGGCAGCCAAGGTAGGAAGCATTTGGGTGCGAGGCTGCAGCGCGCTTGGCACTGCGCCAGGCAGGGTGGTCGCCAGCGCCCGCACCGGAGTGTCATCGAGGCGCTGAAGAAGGACTTGCAGTCGGCCCGGATTAATAGGTCGACCCTGCCAAGTCAAAGGTACCCTCGTGTCCTGAGCTTCGCCACCACTGCTATCCTGCGTGCCTATGACAATGTGGCCCTCGGAAGGGTCTTGTGTTCTTTCGCGCGTCCTCTCCAACCAAGTCCGACATGTGCTTCACGCAGTCTGCGACGTGGACGAGGAGCGCCACGTCCTTCAGGAGCGAAAGACGGACGTACATGTACATGAATCCACGCTGGTTTCGACAGCACGCATTGCACAAATGTTCGTATAACGCGGCCCGTCTCGCGAATCGAGGGGCCGTGTTCATGTACATAGCTGGGCGCGTACGTCCTTTGTGGGCTCCCTAGTCCTGGGTGGCAGGAGCTGGCGCGTGCACCGGGCGGAGGGTCGGCGACGGGCGCCGACGCGCGAGGAGGCGAGCTTGGGCGCTTGTCGCAGGCTGCCCGGGGGGGGGGGCGCTGCTCTCTGTGATCTCGGCACTGTGCGACAAGCAGCGTGACCTTCTCGGGGCGCGCATTCATCAGGAGGGAAGAAAACGCACAGACACAAGGAATCGTCGATCCCCCGGAAAATATTGGAAAATATGGGAAGTGGGGGGGAAGACAGAAACCCAGAAAATATGGGGAAATATGGGGAATAGTTTTATCTGTGTGTATTTATTTGTGTGTCCTGGGGCCCCTTCAATTTAGCAATGCCAGCAGGTTGCGGGAAGGATTGGCACGCCTGGTTGGCCGATCGATTCCATCAGGGTGCGAGGGACTTTCGCTCCTCCCTCGAGGACCCCCTGGTCGGGCGCCCTACCGTTGCTCTCTCGGCGGAAGGTCCGGTGGTGTCCGACCCCTGGTGCCTGCTGGACCTGGAGGCCTCCAGGTTCTCGGGCCTCTGGCAGGTCCGTCGGGCCTCCCCTCGTCTCGGGGCGAAAGTGTCTGAACCATTGGCCCCAATGTGTGGCGGGGGCCTCCGTGGGCTGGGCAAGAGGTATCCTGTTGGGAGTGCGGCGTCCGTTCACGGCGTTCCCATGCGGCACTTGGCGCTGCTCAGGGGCGAGAGGTCGAAATTCCTCGCGCGCCTCTTCTCGCTCGCGGAAAGGTTCGGCACCCTTCCGCCCCAGCTCTCGGCTGTGATCATAGGCGCGCGGAGGAGGAGGAGGAGGGGGAGGAGGAGAAGGGAGGAGGAGGGAGGAGGAGGAAGGAGGAGGAGGAGGAGGAGGCTGCCTCTTAGGAGGCCCAATTGGGGCCCCCCCCTCGGCGCGTCGCCTCCGGGGGCGAGCTCTGAGGCCCCTTTGCGACGGCCCCTGGAAGCTGCGCATTCCATGGGCTGCTGGGCGGCGGGGAAAAATCGAGGGGCCCCGCGCTGCGTTTGGAGGCAGCCCTCTAGGTCGGAAGCTGGGGTTAGGAAAGGAGCCTGCTCGGCCTCAGTCTTGTGGGACACGTGTAAGTACTGCGAGCCGATAGGGCTGGGGGCCTTGAAGGAGAGGGTTCAAGTACGCCTTCCCCCCGGGCATCTTGCATATCTGCCTGGCAGCCTACCGGTGCGATGTGCGGTGTAATATCGGGTTCAGCACGGCGCCCGTGCTGATTCGGGTCTACGCGCTGGATGCATTCGACTCGGTTCCCAGGGCGATGAGCTTTTCCAGGATAGTTCGGGGCGCGGAAGTTCATCTCCTTGGGCGGGCGCCTATATCGACGATGCGTGCATCTCGGCTATAGGAAAGAAGAGTTTCGTTGTGACTGCGATTGTCGATATGGCCTCTTCCTAGTTGCGCGCGGCTACGGCGTTGGCGGCGCGGTAGCTCTGGACAAAGTGTCGCTTATCTGCTCGTGCCCTGGATTTGGGCAAGGGGCTTGCGGCTCGTTTAGGTCAGTTCGGGCACCTGCAGGACTCAGCCGTCAATCTCGGCTGCGACGACACTGCTGGCCGCCCCTTTCGCAGTGGCAAGCGCAGGGTGGCTAAGAGGAAGGCTGGTGAGGATGAGACGAGGGGGAGGAGGAGGAGGAGGAGAGGGAGACGAGGGGGAGGAGGAGGAGGAGGAGGAGGAGGAGGAGGAGGAGGAGGAGGAGGAGTAGGAGGAGGAGGAGGAGAAGGAGGAGGAGGAGGAGGAGGAGGAGGAGGATGGGCCCAAGAGGAAAGTTGGGCGCCTGCGCCGTCTAAATGTACACTTTGGGCGTGAAGCTATTCGTGTTTTTTGCTCGGGCCCGACGCCTGGCTTCGCGCGCGCGCCGGGGGGGGGGGGGTCAGGGCTTCGCGGGCGGGGGGGTTCTTCCTTTGAGGCGACAGGCCGCGTCCACGATCACGCCCAGTGCCGCTCGCACTATCGCTGCTGGAGGCCGACCCGACTTGGCATGTCATGGTCGCCCCTGTCTTTCGCTGCAGTGAGGAAATATGGTGTTTGAGAACTGCTAGCTTTCCTGGGACCTCGGACCGGGCCATCATTGGAGCATATTGGGCTGCTGTTTTTCCAGAGCAGGCAGCAGTGCGTTTCTTGGAGATCGGTCTCGGGGCCGATGAGTGCCATGTTTATGAGCTCGACGAGCACTGGATGGGTTACGGCTGATCATGTGATTCTTTTGTTGACGACGGTGGCAGGACGATCTCATGTACTCAGGTTGTTCCAAGTCTCTTCAAGAAGCTGTTGCACGAGGCTGTGCTCAGGAGACTGGAGCGCGCCTCGTATTCGAAGCTGATGGAGGGGGATCTTTTGTGGCACGCTTCCTCAGCCTGCCTCAGCAAATGCTAGTGCCTCCAGCTCAGCGCCCCCTGCTCAGGACGAGTTGGTCCCCGTTCATAGCCCTCCGAGTCTTCAGGAATCGGGCCGATTGTGTTTTGATGTCATCGGGAAGGCGCTCCGATCGAACAAATGTTCCCCTTTCGAGAAAGGGTGTTTTAGGGCGCTGGTGTGCGATGCGATCTGGGCCGACTCGCGAGCTAGGGGGGCCGGCTATCAGGCTCCCAAGTGCTGCCCCTTCTGTTCCAAGGTCGACTCGCTCACGCACCGCTTTTGGGGGTGCGAGGCCTGCCAAGAGGAGAGGGAGGAGCTCGTGGGCCAGGATATGATCAGGTGGGCGAGCGAGGCCACAGGAGATTCCAATGAAGAGCTCTGTGCGTTCACAATCGGGGATTCCCCTCATCCTGGAGACGTGGTTCTTTGCCATGTCCTCCAACAAGGTATGCGAGGGGCCACGGTGGAATTTTTCGGGGAAGGATGCGCGGCGTCTGGCCTGGACCCAGGACCCGACCCTCCTATCCGCGGTCGCATCTTCCTGGACGGGAGCTGCTTCCCATCCTTTCTCAAGGAGTTGTCTCGGGCTGGTTGGGGCTTCGTGGCGGCGTCGTTCGAAGGCCACCTGCTGGCCGGAGTTCATGGGCCTGCGTGGGCCCATTTGCCCCAAGCGTCTCAATGTGGGGAGTTTTCAAGCTTAGCCGCTGCGGGGGTCCACCTCGATGGCCCGTCGCCCCTGCACTCTGACTGCGCCTCGGTTGTCTCCGTTGCCTCGAGGGGCCCGCTGGGCAGGGTTTCGGGACACAGGGCCTATGCTAGCTCGGCGTTGGACGCTTTTCCTAGGGGCGGCTCTCTCATCAAAGAAATATGTATCCTTTTTTGTTAAAACACACAAAAAAGTCTCCGCGCAAAAGGGCGTCGAGGAGGCTGGAACCAGCTCGGAAAAGGAGAAGTTCCTAGGGCAGGGTAATCCGCGGGCAGACGACGCTGCGAAGAGGGGCGCCCGTCTCCATCCCGCGGCTAATCCTCATGTCCTGGGCCACATTGAACGTTCCCTCAAGATTTCGAGGGCCGTGGTTTTGCTGGCCACTAAGTTGCGCCCAAGGTGGCCTCGGTTGGACCTGACCGACGCGGCCTATGTGCGTCCTCCGGCGAAGGACCGCGAGGGCAAGTTTGTGCATGATTGGTCCTGGACGGCGGAGTGTTGGCAGTGTCTGTGTCGTCTGCGAGGTAAGCGCGGTTCGGATGGGGCGTGCTCGGCCCTGCCTCGTCTGAATCCCCAGCTCCTCCACAAGCAGGCCGCCGCTGTGCTGTTGTAGATTGCACTGGTGACTCGTTCCTTCGCACCTGTCTCGACTGTCAGTTTTACAGCATTGGCGGAATAATCATGAAGCTTGGAGAGGCCTGCGCGGGCCGCGAAGAGTCAGGCGCGGGTAGAACTGCGCGGTAGCACTTTTGTCAGGGCCGCCACCCCCTGCCGCGGAAGCGAGAGAAGAATGCTAAGTTCCCCTCCTCGCCGTGGACGGCCCCCTTTTCTGCCGCGCGGCCGCATGGGGGGGTGGAAGCCCCTGCACACTCGAGTGATCCCCCGCCCTCTCGGAGGAGGACGACGTTGCTCGAGAGTTGCGCGTGGACGCTGTCGCTAGGCGTCTCCTCGCGGCAGCCTCTGGGGCCCCAGGTGCCACTTCGAGTGCTGCCAGCCACGGGACTGGCGACACGTGCGTTGAAAACCAACAACTGGGTTCCCGCGGGCGTTTCAGGCATGGCTTGGACGGCCAATCGTCGCACTCGTTGTCCAGCTGGAGGTGGGTGGAGGTCTGTCCAGCTCTGACTCGAGCCGCCCACACGTGCTCACCGCTTTTGTTCTTTCATCTGCGGTCGCTGGACGAGCGTAGCGGGCTCGATCTGGGGCTCGTGCGTCGTTCTCTCTGGCGGTGCTGGTGTCCCGCAGCCAGCCTTGGAACTCGGGCCGTGGGGTTCCTCCAGGCAGGCGATGCTGGCCGTCCTTTTTCACCGCCACGTTTGTGGCCACCTCCTCCTGCGCGCGGCCGCGGGGGTGGAGGATGCCCCCCCCCCTGCGGTGACAGCTGCTCAGGAGGGCCGCTCTTTTTGTCTCCGCGGTTGCTGGGCTCACGTGGCTGGGTCGTCGATCTGGGGTTTTGCGTCGCCCTGCTTGGGGGTGCTGGTTGCGCAGCCAGCCCTGGAACTCGGGCCCTGGAGTTCCGTCAGGCAGGCGTTGCTGGCCGCCCTTTTCACTGCTTCGTGTTGTCCTCGTCCCCCTGTTGCACGGCCGTGGGGTGATCTCTCCCCTGCGGTGACCGCTACTCTGGGGGGCCGCCCCTCTTTTGTTTTCGAGTGCGCGTCAGGGCACGGGGGAGGCCGTCCTGTCCTCCCCGACCGTGCGCCCTGCCGCGGCGCTCAGGACTCTCTGGGCAGCGTCGTGTGCAGCCGACGCTGCCCAGCAGTCCCGCGACTCAGACTAACCTCGACGTAGGTCAGCCTATTTGCGTCGCTCTCCAGACGGAGTGGTGTGAGATCCTCTTGCGGAGGGTCTGCAGAGGTTGGTTTTACAAAAAATCCTGGTGGCGCCTCCGGCGCCGCACCTGGCGCGCTCCGCGCGCCACGGAGGGGGGCCCGGGGCCTGGCGCGGATTCAAGAAATCCGCGCGGAGCGCCAAAAGTTGATGGTTGTGCTGTTCCTTCTTCTCCTAGGCCCGCGGAGACCGCGTGTGGTCAACGTCGAGGAAGCAGCAGAGGCATACGCGCAATCTTTCGGAGCTCTGGCAGTTTTTGCTCATGCCGTTTTCCGGAGGTCACGTCTGATCAGGCATGTTTCGGTGGTCCCCAAACGTGGTGGTGAGAACACCCGGTGGTGAGTTTTGGGCGATTTGGGTAATGGTTTTCGAGCGCTGGCTGGCCTAGAAAACGCAAAACCTCGTGGCGACCGCGTGTCCCCAAACCCGGTGGTGACCCAGAATTTTTTTTTGGGGGAATCGGGGTCACCACCGGGTGTCTCACCACCTGGTTTGGAGACCACCAAATGTTCCGTTGCGATGATGCCTGGACTCGACGGCGTCTGGGTCAGGGGCAGCGTCAGGGGGGATAGGCCCAGGGGGAGACGCACGCATCTGCACCCGATCGCCCACGTATCGTCGATAGGGGCCGGACAGCCCACCCCGCCAAGCACCGTGCGGATTCGACATCGGAGGCCCATCGCCGATCTATCGGCGATGTATCGCCGACTCTGATGCTCACAGTCCGACGTCGCGCTGAAACCCCATACGGCCTGCGAGCCGCAGCCCCTGACCCAGACCGAAGGGAAAACACGCCTCTGAGGGCCGCAGGCGGCCGCCTTCGCGGGCGGTCGTGTGCAAGGCTGCGACGTTGCAGTGAAGAGGGAAGGAGGAGGGGAAGGAGGAGGAGGAGGAGGAAAATGAGGGGGAAAAACATGAGGAAAAGACGGAAGAGGTGGAGGAGGATGGAGCGGGTCGAGCACCACGGGGGATGAACATAAATTATCCCCGTGCGACCCTACCTAGGAGTTGGAGCCTCTAGGAAAGCAATAATATGCTAGGCTAGGCTATGCTATGCTGCGCTGTGCTATGCTAAGTAATGCTATCCTCTGTTATGCGATGTTATGCTGAGCTATGCTATGATATGCTATGATTGGCTATGCTAGGCTATGCTGTGCTAATGCTGCGCTGCGCGTTGCCGCGCGAAGCTAAGGTAAGGTAAGCTATGCTAAGCTAAGCTAGGCTAGGCTAAGCTAGGCTAAGCCAAGCCAAGCCAAGCTAAGCTAATCTAAGATGATATAGACTAAGCTAAGGTAAGCTAAGATAAGATAAGCTAGGCTAGGCAAAGCTAAGCTAAAGCTAAGCTAAGCTAATATGAGATAAGTTAAGCTAAGCTTAGCTTAGCTAAGCGAAGCTGGGTGAACCCAGGGGGCGCAACTGGGGGAACCGCGGGGCGGGGACTGGTGGAACCGCCCGGGGCGTTTTACACTGCCCGGCCCCTTTAAGCAAACAAAGTAAGAACCCTGTAGGCAGAGCCTAGGTAGGGGAAATCGCGGATAGGCGAATACACACAAAAATCGTTTAATACTCGCCCCCCTCAGCCGCCCCCCCCTCAACGGTGCCCCCCGCTGAGTTCGGCCGAGGTGGTGCCTGCTCCTCGCCATGCAGTGCCCGTACAAGGCCAAGTGCCAGTACGCCTACTACGTCTGCCTCGTCACCGCCGTCGTGGCGGGGACGTCCGGCGTCATCATGGGCATGATCGGCAGCCCCAGGGGCGGGGGTGGGTGGGAAGGGGAGGAGAACGAACCAATACCGCTGCTTTGGCCTCGTCTTCGCCTTTCTTTGGGCCTCCGGGGAGGGCCCCTCCCCGCAGCCGCCGGATTCTCGCCGGGGAATTCTGATCCGAACGCACCCCAGGGGAGGTCCGACGACGACGTCGACGATGACGACGATGACGATGTTTTCCTCCGAATGCTAAAGTGCCAAGACTTTGTGGCCATCGCCATCGTCATCGTCGTCGTCGGTACAGCGGTAGCGGCTCCGTTTGGCTTCCCCAGGGCGAGGGCGGCCAGCTTCTGGCCAGACTCCTCGTCCTCACTCTGTCCTTCAAGAGGGAAAGAAACACACAGACAAGACACAAACAATCGGCGGTTCCCCAGCACATATGGGAAAATATGGGAAGTAGGGGGGAAGACAA